AGCCCGCTCTTCAAGGTGAACCTTCCTTGTGATGCACGCGCGAGCCAGAAGCCTGAGGGCGCTTGGACTTACACACACAAAAGCAGTCCCCGTGACGAACGAATGACTCGCCCGGTGGGCTTGATTTGAGATCACAAGCACAGTTAGGCATAAGCGCGTTCAAAGACATGCTCATTCTGCTAACAGCAAAGATATCTGAGGGGTCTTGCCTAGGGCGATCAAAATCGGCACGAGCATCTTAGAGCTTGGACTCGACGCCAGACAGAGGCAGGGAGGGGTAAAGAGAGCTGGTCAAGAACTCGCTGGGAGACTTTTGTCTGAGGTCATTCTTGATGAACTGCTCAGCAATATCCAAGCTCCTGGAGCCCTTGAGCTTAGCCTTCTCCTCAGCCAAGACTTGGTCCACGTATTGGTTGGTGATGAGCTGACCATCGTTGGTGGACTTGCCGTGATACACCCAAGACCAGAGCAGGTAGCGGGATACTTCTCCTGTAGCAGCATCTTCCATGCTGTAGTTGACGGCCTTGCAGCCCAAGCCGTCGAGCCAGCTCTGGCAGTAGATGAGCAGAGCCTCGACGTTCTGCTGGACACCGCCTCGGGTGATAGCTCCTTCGACGACAGGGTTGAGCAGATCAACAGCAGTGGTAGTGACTTCATCACGACGGATATGGTACTGGTTGGGACCCAGCATGTGTTTGTTGAAGACCTCGAGCGCGACAGAGACCAGTGCGGGGTGTGCGACCCAAGTTCCATCGTGCCCCTTGGTGACCTCGCGAAGCTTGTCAGCGCGGACCTTGTCCATAGCAGCATCGTTACGAGCCTTGTCATCCTTGATGGGAATAGTTGCGGCCATACCACCGATGGCAGCGACGTGTCGATTGTGGCAAGTCTTGATGAGCAGGTCCACATACGCGTTCATAAATGGAGCGGTCATGGTGACGTTGGCACGGTCAGGCAAAACAGCTGCCTTGTTGTAGCGCTGGCGCTTGATGAACGAGAAGATGTAGTCCCATCGACCGCAGTTAAGACCGGAGGAGTGATCACGCAGCTCAAAGAGGATCTCGTCCATCTCGAAGACGGCAGTGATCGTCTCGATCAAGACCGTTCCTCGGATAGTGCCACGAGGAATGGAGATGTAGTCTTGCGCCAAGTTGAAGGCGTCATTCCATAGGCGTGCCTCGAGATGAGACTCCATCTTGGGAAGGTAGAAGTAAGGGCCGTAGCCAATTCGCACAAGCTCCTTGGCGTTGTGGAAGAAGTGGAGACCAAAGTCGAAGAGGGATCCGGAGATGGGTCTGCCATCAACCAGGAAGTGCTCTTCGTTCAGGTGCCAGCCACGAGGGCGGACGATCAGGGTGGCAGTCTGGCCGACGGGCTTCAATTTGTACTCCTTGTTGTTGGAAGCCTGCTTGAAGTCAATCTTGCGGTAGGTAGCGAGGTTCATGTTGACCTGACCATCAATCATGTTAGCCCAGGTGGGAGACGAAGCGTCCTCGAAGTCAGCCATGAA